TACACAACCTACACTTGTCACCGACTAGACGTAGTACACAACCTACACTTGTCACCGACTAGACGTAGTACACAACCTACACTTGTCACCGACTAGACGTAGTACACAACCTACACTTGTCACCAACTGGACGTAGTACACAACCTACACTTGTCACCAACTGGACGTAGTACACAACCTACACTTGTCATCGACTGGACGTAGTACACAATCTACACTTAATGTTTACACTGAATAGTGAGAAACCAACTTTCAGAACAGAAATTGCTTGCAAGAGGTTGAAAATAAATCTAAATCTCTTAAGAATGTGTTTTACCTTCGTTTTTTTTTTCATATTTTTCAAGTTTAATAGATAACTTCAATGAGCTACATACAATGATTTTTTATTACATTCTGGTTTTGTTTCTCCTAGTGGTAACTTAACATTTTAAGTAATTCTAAGTTACCTATCGCAAGGAGGAAACTTTCTCAAAATAAAACTTATGACAGTTCACTCAATACTCGTATCTATTACAAGATGTACTTACCCCCTGAAAGTGACGACATGTGATGAAGTTGCAACAATTGTTGAAGGAGAGGGGGGAAGGAGAAAAAGAAAAAAAAAGTATCATCCTTAAGCCACATGAATGCTGAACAAACAACTCAAATCTATTTTGTTAGTAGGAGTTAATATATGTTAATTTTGTATTTCATACTGTTGTTAAAACTTTAATGAACTTTAAGCCTAATGGTGGTACATTACAACAAACAAATAATAAAATTAAGAGGACCACTGCCACATTTTTACACAGACACTGATCCGTTCCAACTTCCTAGATTAGAAGGGACACCATTTTCATTTATAAAAATACTAAACACAATTTAATATAGAGGGGACACCTTCAAACAGCCATAGCCATAAAAACCAATAGTACACGGACACTTCACATCTGTATGTTTAATAACTAAAATAGGGATGGCCCAAATAGTTAATAAACTCAGTTAAAAGAAAAACAATAATTCTACACACTTACTTGCTTATTCAGGAAATAAGTCGAACAAACAAATCCCACAGGAAGTAGTAGACCAAAATATTTAACGTCAACCGTCAGGATAAAAAAAACAAAGAATATACAGTAAATTCCACATGAAACAATGATGAAAAAAATCATTAAAATGTAAACAAAACTGAATGGTTTTTAGCATTAGAAGAATAATTTATTTTAATACAAAACATTTTAATGTTCAGCAGAATGATGCTGATAAACTATACAACTATTCTATAGGTGAAAATATAAAAAAAATCAACTTTGATCTAGTCATAACAATATAATTATCTCTTCATTACATAATAACTATATCGAGAGAAGATAAAATCTATATTAGATATTTGAGCTGACTAGTTTTCATGACACAGTTACCATTATTAGGGTAACCAAAAACTAGTCGGCTGAAATTTCTAATAAAGAACTAATCTTTCACTGTGCCAAAAAACATTAGTTTTGTTTTTGTAATTTTAACATAGAAGTAAAAAGTCTCTTAGAAGAGATTAACATAATAATTATTTTAACCCACTGACGTCAACTGCTCCAAATGCATGCAGAATTTTTGCAAGCCGTACACCGTATACGGCACACTCGCATTCAACTGCAGGAGGTGGACCGTACCCTATACGGGAAATCTGCGGTTAACAACACTGTATTAAAAGCTAAATATAGAGAGGATATTTGGACGAATATACGTGATATACCCGATACGTTATTATTTAACTTCCTGTTCAGTATTGAAGATCTGGATTAAACATAAAGTTGTGCACTAATAAGAGTTGCTCGTAAATTAATAATATTTTCAAATAAGCTAAAAAATTCTATAAAACAGTAAAAAAAAATGAAGATTAAATTTGTCTGAGAGCAATATTAACAGAAAAAAAAAAACAATAGAGCTTTTGTTATTTAAGGTTTACAAAAGTGATACGAATAAAATTCATAAACTTGGGGAAAGACAAATGACAGCTAAGAAATCCATAAGGTTACTCTCTCGAAACATACAATCAAAATCGAACAGAGAGAATCTTTTATCCTTCTATCCTTTATATATATTATTACAATAAACTCACACACACAATATTTACTCTTTTTCTTCTTCCATTTATATATATATCATTAATATGACCATAGAGAACAATTAGGTATGAGTTAAAGTCATTTTAATAACACATAAAAACTCTTGTAAAAGCCAATATTTCTCAAGACATTAAAAGTTATTTTCTATACCACCATATTATTACTATTACTATAAATTGAAAGAACCGTTAATTTTCAATAAAACTGGAAAACATTCATTTATTAATTCAATTAAGTGGTCCATAAAAGTAGAATTTGCCTGCAGTAGCATTAGTGATAACTTACCGTGCGAGTGTTTGCGCTGACTTTATGTACACCAGCTATCAACTTGATGACATCAGCATTCCCATGTTTGGCCGCCCAGTGTATAGAGTTCTGGAAATGAAACGTTACGAACACGTTGATAGCCTTGTAATACATCAGATATTTATATCAAAATAACAATATCTTGCCACATGCAGTGCCAATTAAACCTTGAATTGCTTTCGTCTGAATCTTGCAGTTGAACCTAGCATATTGTATCAGTAAAAATACTTTTGTTGTCCTTATAGTGTCAGTAAAAATACTTTTGTTGTCCTTATAGTGTCAGTAAAAAATACGTTTGTTGTCCTTATAGTGTCAGTAAAAAATACGTTTGTTGTCCTTATAGTATCAGTAAAAATACGTTTGTTGTCCTTATAGTGTCAGTAAAAATACGTTTGTTGTTCTTATAGTGTCAGTAAAAATACGTTTGTTGTTCTTATAGTGTTACATATATGACGCATACTTTAATTAGAAACTCTGGTTGTAATGGTCCAGTTAACAGACACATAACCAATTATCAGAAATACTGTTATATGTACAACACATAATTCAGTTTGGCTCACTGGCTGTAATGGTCCAGTTAACAGACATATAACCCATCATGAGAAATACTGTTATATGTACAACACATAATTCAGTTAGAACAACTGGTTGTAATGGTCCAGTTAACAGACACATAACCCATGATGAGAAATACTGTTATATGTACGAATGATGGGTTATGTGTCTGTTAACTGGACCATTACAACCAGTTGTTCTAACTGAATTATGTGTAGTACATATAACAGTATTTCTATGATGGGTTATGTGTCTGTTAACTGGACCATTACAACCAGTTGTTCTAACTGAATTATGTGTTGTACATATAACAGTATTTCTGCTAATTGGTTATGTGTCTGTTAACTGGACCATTACAACCAGTTGTTCTAACTGAATTATGTGTTGTACATATAACAGTATTGCTTATGATGGGTTATGTGTCTGTTAACTGGACCATTACAACCAGTTGTTCTAACTGAATTATGTGAAGAAATACTGTTATATATACAACACATAATTCAGTTTGGCTCACTGGTTGTAGCGATCCACATAAACAGACACATAACACATGACATATCACCACCTGTGAAGCAATGAATGCACTAATCCCTGTTAACGGGATCTGTAGGCTCATAAAATTTACTTTTTAATAAAGATTTTTAAATAAATAATATACAACTATCAGAAACAGAATCACTCTCCTCAACTTTAGGTTTAACAGCAGTAATCCCACTATGTTTTTCTCTGTTTTATGCTTAGAAACCGAAAATAAATTGTACACACATACGTATTATAACAAACGTTTCATAAGATAAGAAAAAAAGGAGTGGCTTGGAATACATTGACCAATAAAGGAGTGGCTTGGAATACACTGACCAATAAAGGAGTGGCTTGGAATACACTGACCAATAAAGGAGTGGCTTGGAATACACTGACCAATAAAGGAGTGGCTTGGAATACACTGACCAATAAAGGAGTGGCTTGGAATACACTGACCAATACTACCTTAATTAGTTATCACTTTAATATCTAAACACTGACCGATCACGTCTGGTGTTACAAAAACTTCTTGTATACAGTTACATCATTATACCCGAACATCAGTTTATTGGAGTGTTACAACCTGTACACATCTACCCGAGATAACTCTCGCTCATTATAAAACCAGGGTGAAACCTATACTTACAAACTGTCAGGTAAAAATCCCGTCGGCATCACGGATCAGTGCAGACAGCAACGAGTAATACAGTTTGATCCAATGAATTGTAACAAACACCAGCACATAAAAGAGAAGAAACAGTAAAAACGTAAAACAGTTACAGTGTTCATGTACATTTTCAAACCATCTAGTAAAAACTTCATGAGAATTTTAATACACCTTACGATGATAATGTGAATGTCACATGACAGATCTTATTCCATACGGAGTTTCTATAGGTTAATAATTTATCGTGACTAAACAGATCGTATTCCACACGGAGTTTCTACAGGTTAATAATTTATCATGACGAAACAGATCGTATTCCATACGGAGTTTCTACATGTTAATAATTTACCGTGACTAAACAGATCTTATTCCATATGGAGTTTCTATAGGTTAACAATTTATCTGACTAAACAGATCTTATTCCACATGGAGTTTCTATAGGTTAATAATTTATCTGACTAAACAGATCTTATTCCACATGGAGTTTCTATAGGTTAATAATTTATCGTGACTAAACAGATCTTATTCCATACGGAGTTTCTATAGGTTAATAATTTATTGTGACTAAACAGATCTTATTCCATACGGAGTTTCTATAGGTTAATAATTTATCGTGACTAAACAGATCTTATTCCATACGGAGTTTCTATAGGTTAATAATTTATCGTGACTAAACAGATCTTATTCCATACGGAGTTTCTATAGGTTAATAACTTATCGTGACTAAACAGATCTTATTCCATACGGAGTTTCTATAGGTTAATAACTTATCGTGAC